CCTCGATGGCGGAGTACGAGTGTCCTATGATGTCCCATGTCACATCAACTCCAAGACTCTGTTCACTGTCCCACAATGTTATTTGACATTTTTGTTGGGATCCTACATTTCCTACATGTTGTTTGGCAGAGTGCTGCTGATACTTTGCGGTGACTTGATCGAAAAATGGGACCGAAAAATGGGACTGTTCTTCTCCTAGGCTGCTTGAAAACCTTCGTGGAGCGGGGCCGGCCACAATTAGCTTGTTCATGCTTGTTCAATCCCAGTCCTTGAGAAGTTCGGGGGATTTAGGGGGGTTTTCAAAGAACCGACCGGCGTCGGCGGCCAAACGGCCAAATCCATGCGCGACCCACTGCGGCACCTCGCAGGCCACGGGCCCCTCCTCGCAGCAATCTTTTTCTTCGCCGGGTGCACCTCGGTGGACGACTCGCCCGGTGGACGTCCCTTCTTCCCAAATCAAGGCGCTTTTTGGGAGGACACACCGCGTCTTAAACCACCCAAACCTTTGGCGGCATCGCCAAAAGGTGGAACATTACACCTACAAATCTCACCTGAAGTCAACATTCACGAACATGCACAGAACATTATTCTGAACCTGTGTGCTCAAAACCACCAATCATTTGTGCTCGAACCTGAAGGTCATGTGGAACGTAGCCACCAAAGGGTTGAGAACCCAACGAACAAGTCAATGTAGTATGTTTCATTCGAGCATCCACACATCCACGGGTTCAACAATATTCAACGACTATTGGAGCTGCAATGCCACAGGTGTGACTTGTGCTCTTCACTTGCCACCGCCTTTGAGGCACCATGTGCGTGACTTATTTGACTCTCAATTCGTGACGTGTGGCCCAACAAACTGTTGTGAGAAAGAAGGACCTCGACAGGTGCAATTGCAACAATTGTTTCGTCGTAAGCTCTGGAAGGCTATGTCTCGGATCCGGGCCAAGCAAAGCCGCTTGGAAAGTTGTGGAATCCGTTTTTCTTGAAGGATATTGGCATAGGGTATAAATGGGTATAAGCAAGTGAGAAGTTTAAGCCAGTACATTCCAAGAATCCACATCCAAAATTGAGAGCTTCACTATTAACGGATGGAAACAAAAGTCCAGGCATACGGAGCTTTGCAATCATCCTCTCAAACATGGAAAGGCAAGGCCACTTGTGCAGTCTGTTTCTTTCAATCACGGAAGCTCACAGGTTTAATCTGGTTTAATCCTGAAAGTTTGAACTGGCGAAAGAGTTTATTCAATAACAACATTATACAGTGGAGACGTACCTTGTGAACTTCATTATGAGGGACTTGTCTGCCGTTTCCAGCTTTCACGGTCACAGCTACTTCACAAAGCAGTCTTGTCAGCTGGTTTAGAGTTGGAGCTGTGGATTCGGCAGTCTTCCACCCCAGCGACAACCCACGCATTCTCTTTGACAGTTCTGTGACCATCCGTGGTCCGGAGTCCGGAGAAGAATGTCTAGAAGCACTGTATTATATATTATGTCTGTAAGTATGCGATAAAGTTAGGCTTGAAATGCAGTGAGTCTGTCTCACGCATCCATTCTTTCTCCACAAGTGGAAACTTCAACTGTCTGCTGAAGGAGTCCAATCAAAGGAGCTCGATTTATCGACGACTCTTTTCGTACGTGCTGGGGAAGGCGTTGAAGCGCGTTTCTGGTTGATGTCCTCGCCTTCTCGTTCTGTTCCTGATCCTGTTCCTCGTCCTTCTCCTCCGTCCTGTTCCTCGTCCTCCTCCTTCTCGTCCTCTCCTTGTTCTGCTCCTCGTCCTGTTCCTCGTCCTCATTGTTCTGCTCCTTGAGTTCCTTGTCCTGTTCCTCGCCCTCCTCCTGGTTATGTTCCTCATCGCGCTCCTTGCCTCCGATTCCTGTAAGAACTACAAAAACACAAAGCTCTCAAACACGTTGCCCTTTGATTTTTGTTGCGCCCTGCCCCCCATGGATCTAATTCATAAACCATCATCGAGGCTGTCGCTTTTGGAGTGATCGCATCAATCCATGTTCAGTGTCTCACCTTTGGTGTACTTAGTATTTGAATCCCACACCATGTTTGTTCATTTGTTTGTTTGTCTCCTAAGCAGCTAAGCCTTTGGTCAATGAAAAGCAACAGCTTAGCCAAGAAGCAGCAGGTGCCTTCAAAACCATCCCGGCGGCAGCGAGGGTAGGCGAGGCACGCGCTTGGCACTTCTGGCATACAAGTTCAAGCGGACAAACTGTACAAACAGCAAACATCTTCTGAACTCCAGGAGGGACATGCAGTCGTGAAATGGCCGATTATTCTCCCCCGAAGGTAGTGGAGAGCAACCATTTCAGACGGTGACCCTACTGCAACCTGTTCTTGATACTATGCATGCATACCCCTCCCACCCAGGTGCTTTTATGATCTTGGAATCCCTTGCAAAGTCTTGACAAGCAGCCAAACCAAGAAAGCATTTGAAAGCCCAAATTCTCCAAGTGCCCTGCGGCACTAATCAAATAGTCCTAAATTGCTTCCTAAGCATCCTAAACAAACCAAAGATTTTGCCTAGTTGTTGCCTTGACTTTTGGCACACTCCGATTCTGAAGGTCCAACTTGCCCATCCACTGTCGTCCGCGCCTTCACAGCAATCGAGTGGCTCCTGTCCTTTGGCTGGAGGGCAGCAGCGGCCAGTCGTGAGGCCCAACCTGGACACCGTTCTCGACGGACCGCGTCGAGAGCCCTACACTGCGCTGGCGCCAAGCAAACATGAACTTTTGCAACTCAACTGACTGAAATCCCAGTGGTTCAAAGGTGGTTGGGAGATCTCAAAAACAACTATAATACCTATAATTTATAGAGTCACCCAGTTAGATGGCAGTTAGGCAGTTGAATTTAGACAATACATATTTCTTGTTGCTATAAATATGACCGGCTGTTTTAAGCGTTCCGGAGTTTTCTAGGAGGGCATGACATGTCAAAGCCTGGCACAACAAATACTTCCTTGTCAGTTCATGATGATGTCAGTTCAGTTGATTGACCTGTGCCCAGGGTAAATGTCAAAGGACCCCTTACATACCTTACATAGCTCGCCCTGCATGGTACCATAGAGACCATCGTTGCCGCTGGGAAATCCCACTTGAAGCTTCCTTCCTTCCTTTCAACAACCCGAATTGCCCCGAACAAACTGCCGAAACTACAGCCATGTAGGGAGGCCCCAAAACATCGCCAGTGCATCACATCCCCCAGCACTCTCCCCAGCTTCACGATGCGCCATCCGAAGGGCTCCACGCATTTGGAGTAGACTGCACAAGAACTGGGCACCGGCCGATTGGACTCTTCTGGAGGCTCCGGCGGAATCTCCTGGAGGTCTGAGGGCACTTCATGACCGAAGCACAAAGAGCTTTGTGGTGACTCCCAAATCATAGACTTCTCGGACGCGATATGTTGTTTCTATGTGTTCTGGATAAGATTCATTTTGAATTGAGGAGTGACCCAAGTCGTCTGTGTGGTGTATTTGAGGTGATGATGACAGGTGACTCGTGACTCAAATGGCCTCATCATCTCTTCGGGTCTTGACCTTTGGACAGTTTGCCCATCCCTGCTCTCACAGACCTGTCATGTTCTCGTCTCGTCTCCACAAAGTCACTGAGCTGAAGAAAACCTCATTAATGTTTCGAAAAGGAAAGGAAAAAAACATGTCACATCCCTGCCACCATCTTCCCATATCTTCCCTGTCTCGTCTCCACGAAGTCACTGGGCTTGATTCTTTCCAGGAAGTCGTTGGCCAAAAGCAGTCTCAGCAGCGCACATCCAAGGCACAATCGCATCAGGGCGCCTCTGTGATCGGGTCGTTTCACCCGTCGATCTGCGGTCACGACCTAACCTCTGGTACCTACCCCTGGTCTGACGACAAGTTGCACTCAAAAAATCACCTGGCAACATGGTGGTGAAGCTTTGTGCGAGATTGGATTCCACAAAGGCTTTGCCTGTTCCTTTGCAGAATTGGTCACAAAGTAGAACGGGGCAATACAAGATGTAAAACACAACACTTAAACAATTGTGTGTCATTGTTTTGTAGGCTCACAGATCCCGTTGGAGGCACAAACTCCAGCAAAACATGGCAACACTGTGTTTGGGGCAGCTCCAAATCCATGAGAATACCACGAACTTTCTTTGTTCAGTTTGCATCCATTGGCCTGTTGGGTTAGACATTGGACCTGTTTATCTGAGTGAGTGTGCAGATCGCCACCTGGCACGCTCGAGTTTTGAAGTATGTATACATAATATGGATGGAACATGATGGAAGGATGAGGGTATTGCTGCCAGACTGGTAACTGAGACTCTCAAGAAGCGTTTCTCAGTCATTTCACCTGAGGAACTGGGAATCTATTGGGTCAGAGAGCGGCTCCTTAGCTCCCTCTCCAACTACCGGCAAGGCAAGAAAACACATTGACATTGAAAAGAAAACCTGCATTGCGCACTGCCAGGGGTATATTCTGGAGCATTCTGGAGGTAGTCGTTATTGTTAGACCAACCTTAGTTTCTCTAACAACTGTGGAAGTGCCAAGCGGCCAGCTTGGCCAGGTCTAGGAAGGGGTGCACCCCCACCCTCGGAAATCGGCGATGGGAAGCAGTCAGCCACCCTGTTTTTGAGCCAAAAACTGCGGCCACCAAGGAATGAGTGTATGGAGGTACAAGCAGATTCGACTTGGCCTTTATCTGTTTGGCATCTTGCCCTTCACGCACCACATTTTCCATGTACACTTTATTTTCTATTGCCGTCCATTTCTTTGCTTGGAATTATAGGAGTTATGGTATGACTATAGGGGACAATGATTCCAAGCGCAAATTACAATGACCCAGTATTACCATGCTTCGCTAGGATGTCAAGCTGAGTTCACTATTATATTCTTTATTATTGTATGAATGTGTTCACATATTATTGTGATAGGTCAGGTCTCAAATTGTCGCCAATTGCGGGAACATCTGTCACTTCAGACGAAGGGTCAACGTCATGGTCTGTCTGAAAATCTCACAAGCCAAAACAGCAGCAAAACAGGCCAGGGAGTGCGGGATCAAACTCTGGAGGCTTCTGGCTTTGCAAGGAGGCCAAGTAGATCACGATGATCGAGAGGATACCCCACACTGGGCAGCAGTTGGGACATCCAAAGCATTAACAGTTGGGAGTTGGACGTTGTCTTTGTAATCTTCCCTATCTTTTTGCAGGTTGGAAGCCAATTGAATAATTAGGAGGTCTCCTCGCCTGCTTGATCTCCTAGTCCTAGTCGTTGTTATGTTCTTTCTCGTCTTGTGCGGTGCTTCCGGGTCTCCAGAATCGTTTCTGCGCAAGGACAACAAGGGCCAAACCGCCCGAGGACCTCGGCAGCTGAGGGTCGTGACTCAAGCCCACGATCACACCGGCATCGATGATAGCCCGATAAGGGTTATCCAATTGCCTGACACCTCAGGGACGGGACGCCGGGACGTCTGCTGGCGTTTCCTTTTTGCTCAGGGTCCAGGATGTTTGATGATGTTTGCAGCTGCTTAGCAAGAGGCCATTGCCATGCCGCCTAGGAAGTAGGACCAAATTAAATGGACTATTGAATGGTTGCAATGGATCCTGTTCATCAATTGTTCTTTCCTCATGATCATTAGAAGCTATCCATCTACCAACCCCACTTTTCAATTCTCTGAGTGATGCCAAGGCTCGCATAGTAGCATCACCCGGTCACAACAACACTGTAGAGGAATGCTTGGGGAGGGCATTCAGAGTCCCTGACAAAAAAACACCTCCACACATTGCATTGAACTGTAAAATGGCAAGTACCTTCATTGCACGTATCACACCCCCCCACTTCAAACTAGGGAACCTATTGATCTTTGGAATTGCAAGCACCTCGGCGCAAGTGGTCAACCCAACCACACTCCCAAGTCCAGACCCAAACTGAACAAAGTCGCTGCCCAGCCCAGCCTATGACCACCAGGAAAATCACTGTAGTGACCTACTCAGCATGGAAAAGGCCAAGTTTGGACAGTGAGGGGCTAAAGCAAAAGACCTTGCAATGATGTTGTCTAGCTATGCAACCAAATGTCACATTTGGTGGCAAAAAACTTATGGTGCCCAAGCGTGAACGGTATCTACACTACGTGGAGGATGGTCCCAACATGATCTTGGATACAAGCACAGACGCATCACACCGTATCATGCCGTATCATCTCACGACCTAGCGGGTTCAAGGTCCAATGTCAACCACCCACATAGCCTGTTTTTCTTTTTAAAAATAAAATCCGGAGCAGGCAAATCAAACATAGCCTGCGTGGTGGTCCTGCGCATGTCTATCAGCAAACAAATCACGGCCTGCCATTGCCCTGACTTCTCACATGCACTCAGCACGGCTTTGTATGCCACCTCACTAAGGGACCTCTGTTCCAGAAAAGCATAGAAAAAGTACAATGCCCAGTCCCAAAGCAATGACTTCTCAAAGCTGCTGATTAAGGCATTGCATGTGATGCCATCAGGCTCTAAAGAGTGCCAACACATCCAATTGTACAAGTCAAGAGCCCTTTCCCACATGGCTGACTTCTCGCAAGCACTGATGGAGGCATTTAAAGAAATCTGGTTGATTTGAAGGCAAGTTTCAGGTATCTTCCACAAAATCTCCAGGGCATGCTGCCATTGAGCAGCCTTCCCACAAGCACTTATGGCAGCATTCTGTGCAGACACGTCGCCTTCCAGTGCCTGTGAGCAGAAGGTCTCTAGCAAAAGGATTGCAACTTCCCACTGACTGCACCTTTCGCAGGCACTGATCGAGCACACATAAAGGCTCACAGCAGAGAATCTGCGGCCTAACGCATCCGAGAGCAGCTGAAGAATTTGTGACCAATATCCATCATTCATGACTGCACCAAAGGCCACTAGATCTGCGGACTGAACCACCTCCGAAAAGAGTTGATGTGCTTCGGGCCAAGGGGCGGCCGACAAGGTGGAGCTGTAAATTTGAAGGTTTGGTTCCGTTCCCTGATCCTTGAGGTTTTGCAAGCTCAACCCCCAATCCTTTGTCACTGCAAGATAAGCGATCAAGCTGGGTCGCAGCACCTCTTCTTTCATCTGTCGCAACAGCTGCAAAGCCCAGCTCCATGGGCCACAGCGCAAGGCCGTGCCAAAGGAGATCACGTCGGGCTGCAAGGAGCGACTCTGTTGTGCCTCGAAGATTCCAAGGCTCTGGGCCCAGACCCTAGGGACTTCCAAGATCGAGATGGACTCCGACAGGGAGCTCTCGGCCATGTCGGCCAAGGCAGCCAAAGCGGCGTTGTAGGAGACCAGGTTCGCTTGTGTTTGCCACTGAAGCTCCATGAGCAGTTCCAAGGCACAAGTCCAGTGGTCGAGAGGAATACTGGTGATACTCGTACTATAAGTGAAGGCGTTGACTTCGGAAGATTGCTCCAAGAACAGCGAGAGAAGCCTCAAGCCCTGGGGCCATGCCTCAGAAAACGCGTTGAGTGCAGCGCCATGGGTGATAACGTTGGGCTGGAAGTGCATGTTGTAGAAGGTCTGCAGAGTTTTGACAGAGAGAGCCCATTGGACGCTCTTGGAAAGCGCATTGAGCAGCGTACTCTGTGTGATGTCATTCCCTTCCAAGCGCCTCTGGCGGAGCTGCTGGAAGTGTTGCCCAGCTTGCTGCCAAGCCTTGCCTTTGACACACTTGCTGATGGCAGCATTGTGGGCAACGACATCCATGCGAGAAGGGCAGACCCTCTTCCGGCCTTTGAGCCTAGGATGCAAGAGGAAGACCCTGCATGGCGTCTGAAGGTTCCACCTCGATCTCCAGAAGCCCATCGATCTGCCCACCTATCTGACCACATTATCACCTGGGCCCTCCGAGACCCAAATCATCTTCCCAAGAACATCGATTATGACAATGACCAGGTTCCTCATGTCCCTCTCTTAGCTGACCCGGACACATCCTCCTTGAGGCTTTGGTCATGGGGGTGTCATGCAGTGTAGCTATGTGATTTGCTGACATTCTTCCTTTGAGTAGACTTTGTACATAACTTAAGATCGCTGATGGCCCATTGCAAGGAGTGCAGGTTGGAGGAGAAACAAATCATGGAGCCCCGAATAATGTGAGCTGAAACAGCATGGGGATTGCCAAAACAATAAATGCAGATTTGCATAGGGTCATCGCACGCATACAATCCTCTGTCAAACAAAAAAGCACGCACGGCATTCACGAAAGAACAGAAACACATCCAAACACATCCGAAGTCCAACATCTCCCTCCAAAAAGCAGTTCCTTCTGCTTTAACCCCTGTCTCCTGAGAATCCCGGCTGCCCAACTTGTGATCACCCGCTTCTTGCTGCCGTGGAAGTAACCGATACAAAAGGCAGGCTGAGCCGCTGCCGAGGGTAGGACCACGACGAGGACCCAAATGATGACGATCTAGCTGGTCCATTCTGCCATGGGAATACCGAACAGGCCTATACTATACTGTATATATACTGTATATACAACCAGTATATATATATATTGTTATTATAATAAGAATTTATTATATTGTTATTATAATAAGAATTTATCTGAAGTACGGCCATAACAAATTTATGGATCTCTTACTTCGTTGGGACATGTGGCACAAAAAGAGCATAGGACCAAGATCCTCAGCAGTCCTTTTTGGCTTTGACTTTGAGTGCATTGTGGAACAAATCCAATTGGAATCTGGATCTTTGGCGCTCCAAAGTCTGTGATGGTCTGTACAAATCACAGTGCCTGATGGTACAAATACAGCTGCTGACACTATTGAACACCGTCACGCAGTCGGCTTTGCCCCCGGGCTGCCAAGACCTTGTGCCAAACTGGAGCATATTCAGCTTCCTCACAAGGCACCATCACAAGGCCCCTACCCCACTGCAAATCCTAAAGTGTAAGCCAGACTAGTCCGGAGTCTAGTAGAAAGTAGTATATATATATATATAGGCTGTTTTGAACTGCAGCTAAAAAAACACATGTGAACAATATAAGTACACAAAGTCGATCAAGCCCCAAGCCAGGTCATACACGACATCTGACCACTACCGCCAAAGCTGGTCGAACCTTCGGGCCCACCGGTACTGCCGATCTGACCGCGCCTCGGAGACCACCCAAGCGCGGCTGACCACGCGTGGAGAGAAACCAAGCTGGAAGCCTCTGTAGCCCTGCCAGACATGGACTCAGCGGTCGTCTGTCCGATTGTGTGTAACAGTTGTTCTTGTGTGTGTTCCAGGAAGGTCTCCATGGATCGGAAATGGGACATCGATGCAGGTCTTCCGACTGAAACAAGCTGCACGTTTGCCACGTTCTCCGACCGAAACAGCTCACACACAGCTTCCCATGGAAGGAATACTATGGAATACTATTATAATACTATTATATCGTCTATTATTCAATTCCATTCATGTCCATTCCAACACATTCAAGCATCATGAAAACAACGTCTTAGACTCACTGGGAAGAGTTCGGGGTTGCGATTGTCGCCCAAAAAGAATATGCTTTGACGGAATCTATCAGCATCTGATAGTTATTGCATCGCTTTCTCCTCTCTCAGCATCTCAACAGCCTTGACTTCTCTACAACAAATCTTTACATGTCTTTGATTGCTTCCTCCAGAGCTCTGCAAGGCAGCCGAGACTCGTGGAAGCCTGTACATGTCAAAGGCTTGTGCGATGCCAGGATCACTGGGAGGCTGACATATGTATGAACCATGTACAAACTATCCCAAACTGCCAATGTCAGCCTACACACCACCAACAGCTCCATAAGGCATGTCCATAGGCATGCACGACTCGCAATAGAGTGGCCCATTGCAAACACGCTCTTCTCCTCGCATGTGAGATCCCCACTGGCAAACGACACCGCATTG